AGAGAATGCGTGCAGAGGAGCAGTGTTTTTCCGGTTCCCATCTCAAAAAAGTTGTACGTTCCTGCCATGCAAAACAGACGTACATAATCCTATCAAGTTGCATACAAGTGCATAAAAATGTACCGAAGGTTAACAAAATCGTGATGGCGCTAACTAAAATCAATGGAAGCAATTTAGTGAAATTTGGAAGGAAAATGTATTAGGAGATCAGCCACTTGACATAGGACTGTAACAAATAAAGTCTGTATCAGTCAGTTGGTCAAGTGTTACCAGGTGCGCCACGTGTGTGGAAATCAGCATGTAAACTAAGTGAAGTACAATACCTGTCATGTCATTTTTTATTTACCTATTCTGAATACTACTTACCTGTGATCACATTAAATGATTTTCATGTATTAACACTTTATATATATATATATATCCCGGGGCCTTTGTAGGTAGGGGACTCCCAATCACTTAGAAACCTGGGATATGTATACTTTCTTTTTCTGTGATGATTATTACTGGATTTTTTTTATATATGTGATTATCTCCCTTTACTTGTAATATAATATGTTATTGTTATTTTTACATGTTTGTCGCAATAATAGCTCTCAAGAGCTAATGTTCCTTGTTTACCTGTATGTGACGTTAAATAAAGTTTCCTGTATCTTGTTGTCATGGGGTTGGGGCAGGAATACCAATTTTACAATCAGAGATGATTCTGACTAAGTTTGAGTAATTTTCTGCTGAAAATGGATAACATATACCCAAATGTGTTATTTCCTTATATAAACTATAGTAAACTTTACCCCCAACCCAAGGGGGAACGAATGGCTCGGGGGTCCTGAAATTGAAAATTTCAATAAAGGTCCTGATGATCTTTCTATCCATGCACTGAAATTTACTGTAGTACCTCTGAGTCTGGAGAGGAAGGTTTTTGAACCAAAGCTCAGGTGAACTAAAACCGGTAACATCGATCTGGGAACCTGGTCGTTATCAGATCAACTTCGTTCTGCTAAAGTATCTGTGTGTGTTGGGCGACAAAAAACGGACACATTTGACAAAATAATGCCCACAATGAACGTTTTACAAACTACACAATAAAAAAGAAATCGCTCTTGTCTAATTTTTGCCATGTAAAATGAAAAAAAAATATACCTCCCTGCCTCATCTCTTTTTAAAAAAAAAGGGCCTGAGAACCAAGTAATTAATTTGTTTTGGCCTAAAAAATATAAGACGAATTATCTCCCTTTGATAAATTTGAAATTGATTTTTAAAATGTGTAGATTCAATTTTCGTTCAATTTGCAAATAAAAGCAAAAGTTTTTAACATTACAGTAATGACATATATATGTGAGCTTGCATAAACAACAGGCCCAGAGGGCCTGTATCCCTCACCTGGATATCTAGGCAATCATGGCAAAATATTCTCCAAATGAGATCCAAGGGAATATGCCAGACCCCAAGGCCAATCCTTGTAGCATACCTGTATTAGATTTTTGATGCCCAGCAATTTTATGTATGGTTATGGGGTGGGAATCTCAACTGTTTCCAAGCTGTGACTCAGAACTAGGTTCCTAGGCTTGTGGCCAGACCCCAGGATCAATTCTAATATCATGACTGCATTCATATCTCTTTATGCACAACAATTGTATATATAGTTTTGGGGTGGGGAACTTAACCGTTTCAAAGTTATGACCCAGGGACTATGTCTCCAAGGAAGGGGCCATCCCCTAGAGCCATCCTGGAAGCAAATGTGCATTCTTCTCTTTATACTCAGCAATTGTATATATGGTTTTGGGGTGGGGATCTTAACCGTTTCAAACTTATGACCCAGGGGCTAAGTCTCCAAGGGTGGGGCCAGACCCGAGGGCCATCCTGGAAGCAAATGTGCATTCCTCTCTTTATACTCAGCAATTGTATATATGGTTATATGGTGGGGATCTCAACCATTTCCAAGTAAAAAAAAATCCGGCCCTACCCCTTAGCCCGGGGGGTCAGCCCCATCATTTGTACCATTTTGGATCCCTGCCTCCCATCAATGCTTCCGACCAAATATGATCAATATCCATGGTATAGTTCTACGGAAGAGGTCGTTAATAGCAATATAGCCAAATTGCCCCCTTTTGACCCAGCCCTCAGCCCCCTGGGGGTCAGCCCCACCATTTGTACAATTTTGAATCCCCACCAACTAGGGATGCTTCCAGTTGGTTGATATCTATCTCTTAGTTCCAGAGAAGAAGTCGCTTCAAGTAATATAGCTAAATAACCCTTTTTGTCCTCGCCTCTCAGCCCCCACGGGGGTCAGCCACACCATTTGTACACTTTTGAATCCCTGCCTGCCATGAATGCTTTTGGTTAAATATGATTGATAATCCAATGTAAGTTCTACAGAAGAAGTCATTTGTAGCAATATAGCCAAAATGCCCCCTTTTGGCCCCGCCCTCAGCCCCCTGGGGGGTCAGCCCAACCATTTGTACAATTTTGAATCCACACCACCTAGGGATGCTTCCAATTAAATATGGTTGATATCCATTTCTTAGTTCCAGAGGAGATGTAGCTTAAAGCAATATAGCCAAATTGCCCCTTTTTGCCCCGCCCCTCAGCCCCCTTGGGGGTCAGCACCACCATTTGTACAATTTTGAATCCCCACCACCTAGGGATGCTTCCAGTCAAATTTAGTTAAATTCCAATCAGTGGTTAAGAAGAAGTCGTTTAAAGAAATTGTTGACGGACAGACGACGGACGGACGGAGGGACGAACGGACGACAGACGTCACGGTATGACATAAGCTCACCTTGGTCCTTCTTGAGCTAAAAATTGACATGATTTGACTACGTCCAGCTTCCATGCCCGCTTCAGTACTAGCTATATCCGCTGTCAGTGATTACACAGTGATTATGATACCAAAGTGAGTATTTATGATGTCATAGACGTTATGCTAACTATGGCATTATATAATATCAAGGTCTAATATGATAGTACATAGTACATGTATGATGCACGATGCACTTAGTTACATGCACAGAGACGCAAAGTACCATATTCAACACAAAATGTAACTTTATTGAAGAAAACGTGGAATTATGGGACTTTTCATTTTCAAAATTCCTTCCCTTTGTTACTTGTTTGAGAGGAAAATTGATCAAAATTGAGGTTTCTCTTGTGAAACCAATTTCTATTATAAATACTTACCACAGTCATTATAATGCATATTCCAACCTTACTTGGCTCTTTACATACGTAAATAAAGAATTTTCCCCCCCATGGGGAACCCCTGGGAAACCCACCAATCAGACGGCAGTATTCATGTACGTGATAAGACACGAAGCCATGCTTCCCACTTCATAATTCCAAAGCCCAAAAAAGTGAGAGCCAAGGAGACAAGGGGAGGCTGGGACGGAACACACCTAATGACTGTGATAAGTATTTATAATAGAAATTGGTTTCACAAGAGAAACCTCAATTATATTTCAAAATACGTTACCACAGTCATTATAATGCGAATTCGACTTACCGCAGTGGTGTCTCCGTGGAGCGATGAAGGGTTCCAACAATAGGACCC